AGGGATTTATCGTTTTTCAGGTACATTTTGACGGTAGACAACCGATATCGGATGTGTATCGTGGTTTGTACTATTAGGGAAAAAACTAGATCTTGGGATGAAGGGCTCGACTGTGAGCTGTGTAGTCAAGTTAGTCACGATTGTAGCATGATTTGTGAGTGCAAGAAAAAAATAGATCTCGTGATCCAGCGAGTGGCGGTGACCTGTACAATCATGTATGTGGCGAAAGGGTAGCTACAGATGAAGTTCGTGTAACCCTCAAAACCCTGACTGAAAAAAGTAAGCCTGTCGACGTGTTTGATGTTATCTGTACGCTAGGTTAGGATTAGGTTGCCTCCATTTTCTCATTTGCATCCTTTAAAACTCCATCCGGATTCCCTCCAAAAGCACCAATCATCCGTATATCATATGCATATCGTTTACCAAACTCATACGTTTTCCTTCTATTCTCTTCCAGGTAACTGACCTCTTCCCACAATCAATGTGATGACCAAGTGTTACGAAATGAATAAAATAAGAACCGGTTGTATGCAAATCTTCTTTTGGCTAAACGATTCCCGGGCTGTGTATACACTGTGGTGGCCTAGCTATCATCAGTTCGTGTCACTGCTAGCGGCGGTCTCTTCTTTTGGGTCGATCTGTTTTTTCACTACCGTCTTCTTTTTAGTAGGATCAGCCAACAGTCTGCGGTCCAGCTCGAATTCGTAAGTGAATTCTGGCGTTGTGTCAACTGCTTCTCCATCTGGTGGTTCATAGTCTTCCGGACAATCGACCAGACCCCCGTGGATTCTAGGCGCTGTGTAGTAGGGTCCCTTGATTTTTCCCAGGATGTCTTGCACACAATCGCCTTCAGTCGTGCACGTAGTGGGTAAATAGAACGGTTGAATAGCGGCCTTGTACAGCTCCGGGGATGTCAAATAGAGCCAATCGAGAGCTCTCTGTTGCGCCCGCATGGCACGAGAAAACTGCTGAGACTCAGTTCTTGCCACATTTGTTTGATAACGACCCCATTGTTTTAACAGAACCGCACGTCGGTCAATTTCGTTTTCACTAAGGTCCACTGGTTGTCGCCTGCGCGATCTAAAACAGCGGAAAAAAGGTTGTTTCGTTGGCGACCATATAGCCTGCTTGGTTTGCAGTACAAAGCGAGAAGCACTGTGACTTACTCTAGCTCTTTGAGTAATTTACGATCGCCCTCCAGTTCCGCAACTGGTTTCAGCTGACGTTGTTGGCGATTGAATCGCTTGATTTCCTTTTCGATTTTTCTAGTCCTTCTGCGCAAACGATTCTGTTCAATCAACGGGTCTATCCGTTTTTTCTTCTTAAGTGGTTCGGCACTGAGTGTGACCATGGATAAACTCATTATTCAACTTACTAGGCAACCGCGGAGGTGTGTATCATAGAAGGAAAGAGTTGCACGGTGCGAAGGAGAGTTGGTTGTTGAGCAAGCACCAGACTAAGTATCGCCATAATCGGACCAAATAAACAGCTTACCGGGACAGTAGGCTCAGCATCACGATTTCAAAGGAATTTTCATACTCTTTATCAGGTAGGCTGAAACAGAAGAAACAGTAGGCTATCACGATTTCAAAGGAATTTTCATACTCTTTATCAGGTAGACTGAAACAGAAGAAGAGAGGATAAACACAACTGTTGTGTCTGATACTACTATGTTGGCCTTTCGCGTTCGTTCTTTTGCCTACCACGGTATACCAAAAGTACGGTGGATTGAGGTGGCTCTTTGGACATAAAGGAAGAGTGATCAGGCTATAATCTAAAAGGCGAAGCTAGACACCAGGGCAAGGAGTATCGGTCCAAAAACACTCCATTCTGATTGGCCCATATTCTGACCAGTCAGGAGTGCTTTCTGTTGGTCTGTCCAATCAATGTGATGGTTGATTGCCCTGAGCGGCTGGACTCAACTAGATGAGTAAACATGGGAATCCGCTTACGGCTCCGAGGTTACTTTTTGAGCGTTTGCATATTCCGCTTTCATCAGCCATTGGCACAGCAAAAAAACGTAGTTGCAGCTGCTAAGGTTTCACTTGTCGAGCATAACGAGAATAAGGCGATGACAGCTGAGTTGTTGCTTGTCCGATTGAGCAGGACTTGTGGTGCTACGAATCGAGCGACGTGGTTTTGATGTGCGACCATCAGTGGCCACATCTACCATGTTCGCCAACCGTCCCGAGGTCTACGACCAAGAAGAAAGGACGCGACTCATGGGCGGCAATATACCTCCAATGCATGCTGCTGACTAATCCAGTAGTCCAATTGCCAACGCCAGTGAGTTGACTGGTAAGGGCTTCCACGCTTCACCGTCAAGGCATAAATTGCTCCATCCGATAGACGGCTGGACGAGAGGGGCTCTGCTCTGGTCCTCTGATTTGCGGAGTACGTGGAACAACCCGCTTAACCTATGGATATTGCCCATTTGATCTATCCAGAGGAAGTTTCTTTCCTCAAGAATCACATGGCGTACTGATCCAATGTGCCCGGATGCACACAATGAATCAGGGGCATCCACGGTCCAACACGGACCCTCAAGCAGGAGCCACGTCTCTGAGCGCATATCAAGCCGCGGTGGTGCACACCCTGCTTTCGGCAGCCAAGATGACGTCACGTCGACGTCCCGATTCAGAAGTTACCTTTGCCATAGGTCATTCCGTCGGAGTTTATGAAGTTGTTTAAACAGATAACTTTATCTACAACATCGATCATTTCACCCACAAACAGGGTTCGGGTTTGGTCCCATCCAGTATTTTAGTACAGTCTTACATTTTCCAGGCATGAGGCGCACGTCAAACCGTGCAACAATATCAGACCATTAGCGTACTCAAGTCTGTGGATGAACATCCTGAGAACATTTCGGTCTCCGAGCCGTTAGAGACGGCTACATAAGATTTAATCAGCAGGTTGATTACGAAGCTGAGGAGAAAGGGCAACGAAATTTGCCCTTGAGTGAGGTCACTGGACCTAACCACTCCACCGTCTCGAAGCAAATAACTTAGAATCAGACGATATATTCCACGGAGAAGCGAACTGTTGCAAAGGGCCCACACAACACCGTGATCCTACTCAAGCTGTGTACTTAAGAATGAACAAAAATCTTGTATTGAAGCTGTTCACTAGCAACCCATTGTCACCATCGCCAACATTCAACACAGTTTCTCTGCCGTACAACCATCTTTTATCTTAGTATTAGCTTAACCCAATCATTCCGAGGTGCCTACACCTCCAGACATACATTCAAGCAATTTAGATGGAAAGTGACAACAAGAACGCCATTGACGTAGACTAGCGGATATACATGGTAGCACCTACAACCAGAAGCAGTGGTGATCACCCGATTCCCGTCCTAAAGGGCGATTAGCAACCCAGACTTTTCATAACTTCTTTCATGCCCCTTTCGAAATGTCAAGAGTTGGCCACCCCACTGCTTCCGCCACTCTGAATTGAGCACGAAAAACAGCTACCCCTTCTGCATGCGTAGTAAATGGCTTAAGGAACGCAGCTTCTGGTGCTGGACACATTCGGCAATGCAGGTCCTTGTCACAATCCAAAACTCGCCCTCTAATTGCCCTGTTACGAATTCGCCGAAACCAACCTACATCAACTATGGTTTGGAGATAACGGCTGTCGAATACCTGAAGACGTTTCAGTTCCATTGGCCGAAGGTCCGTGTCTCGCAACAATACGACAAAACAGCCCGTATTGCAGTCTGATACACACGTCTCTTGAGATCCAGGAATATACCGCTTTGTGTCTCAAATTAGCGGAAGCTACCCGGGCCTTGCAGCTTCGTACATCGACACTAAAGTTGGAACTAATACAACTTCCAAGATAGGTAAAACGATCCACAACTTTGAGTGTCTCTCCCTGGATTGTAACTGGCATGTTCAGTAACTGCATATTCAGAAGTATGACTTTACAGTTTGCGGGTGCAAAGTGCATCCCAAAGAACGGGATGGTTTTGGTCAGTTTATCCAAAAACACCTGAGCCTTCCCCCTTAGAAGACGAGAACGATGCCTTTATATTCCGGATCAACAAG